TGAGTTAGCCGACCTACTGTACATACGCTCATGGAGTGAGTTGGGCACACAATGAGCGCGCTTTTGCTTGCTTGTCTACTCCGGCATCTCAACCTTTCTGGAACGGTGGTGAACTATGGAATCACAGACGTCAACAAATCTAACTATTTTCTTAACCAGTGAGTCTCTTTGATGTCTGTTCCTCTCTGTAAATGCGTCGTATGTGGGAAATCAACCACAAGGCGTCATACGGAATTCTTTTTGTCCGATGCCGCTGCACGATGCCTGGTCCGTAATCTTGTTATCGTTGGGCTCAGCCAGTTACTCCAAAGCGCCTTTTCCTTGGACTTTACATGCACGCTAAACATTTCTCGCGACGTAGAACATTTTTTATGGGGCAGAAACACTCGCCAAACAGAAAGTCAACTCTTGGCAGCGTTGTATTCCTAAAGCAGAGTAAATCTTTTAATATTAGGTTCCATCTAAGAGGAGCAAACTTTCATTTTCTCACCGGTACAGAGAAGCATTCCTCTCCTCTGGCGAATAATTTTTGTCATGGCTAAAATGCCTGCTCGTAAATAAAGATGTCTCGGAGAACAGTAAATGCATGGATAGCGTCCTTGAAGAGATTTGTGGATATTGTCTACAGACATATAAACAAGAATAATCTAATACTGCCACGTTTCAACCGTGTCCAAGTAATCTAATGCAACGTCGGAGCATTTAAATTTCAAAACTGGCCAAGTTTCTTTGTTGACAGCAATCCAAACACCGATAAATGTTACCTACCAGCGTCATTAGATTTTTCTGTAGGTGGCCTTACAATTCGTTGCTTGTTTAAAAAAATATTTGCCATAGAAGCACCTGAAATTTGTGTTGCATTGCTCATGCAAGTCAGATTTGACACCTTCAAATACTAATAGTTGTTTTGCAGTTGTGAGGGTCTTGTAGTCATGGTACTGTGCATTAGCATTTAGCTCGCTTAGCGGTAAAAATGCACCAGTTGAGTACTTAGTTTCTTCTTTGCAGATGTCTTTTTATTTTGCTTAAAGTCGTACTCTCAACGTATTCTCATAAAGTGAATCCGTATAGTTCTCACGTTCATGTAACATTTCCGCTTTCAGCTTAAAAACTGACTAATTGTAATATTAAAATGCAAACTACTATTGTGCTAATTACACACTGTAGAATTAAGTGTAAAAATAACACACTGTTGTATTTAAAGAGACAGGTAACAGGGAGGAAGGGAAATGAACATGAAAGAGTTGGGAGGAATAGTTTGACTACCTGACCTGTCGTACTGAATTCCAAATTTATCGTCATGAATGGGCCAAATGCAACCATGAAAAAGCATTCCTTCCGGTGCCCTGGGCTGCATCCTCCTCTAAGAGGAAAGACCTCACGGGGTGCACTTCCTGTGGTTTATTCGGCAGATGGAAATGGCAAAAACTGTCCGGATCAGACCACACGCACGAAAATACATAAAGTAAAAATGGGTACCCCAGCACGGTATGACTAACCGCCCTGAGTTACAGTGGGTCATGCCTCAGGTACTTTCGGGTGATGACTTCGTTGCTTAAGTTTCGATGGTGGCAGATCTCTTTGAACAAACACAACCTATTACATTCCAAAGAAGTAGAAAGATATATTGTCGGGTTTACCATATTGACAATACTAGTATTAGCTGAAATGCTCATAAACTTTCGAACCGAGCATAAAAAGCCTTGTTTTGAAGTATTTACTCCAACTTTGCGCATTAACTTCCTCAGTAATAAAACAAAGTAGTGCAAGGAAATCCTAACAAGGCCTGAAAATGGATTTAGGCATAACGAAGATGATAGTCTTCTATTGTACCTTCTGCGATATCTGTCTTGTCACGTCGACAGACAGCTCCTGATGCTCTTGGTCGCAACTTCTGTCCTGAGCGAAATCGAGCACCGGATCAACCAGGCGCACGGAATTCTGTTCAACCCAATTGCTTCCCTCTTGATTAAGGTAAAATCGTTTGAAAAACGAAATGTACGCTCATGGCCTTCAGTCATGATACATTTTCTCCGCGAAGAGCAAGTAGAGCTTGCGTCATCAAAAGCTACTCGTCCCCTGTAGTTATTCAACGCCGATGCTATTCTCCATTTTCCACCTCGGCTGTTTGTATCTCGTCTCCAATGAGGGATTACACAGTTTGCTAAAAAGGAAGCTTATTGACTTCGTTCTCCCAACCGTTCGATTCAGACAGACCTAACGGCGAACTCGTTTGAGATATTATGCCGCCCTAACCTGACCTAGACTGACGACGACGCCGACCTGGCCAGTGTGAGGCCTGGATGGATGTGACTGAATTGACTTCGGGTGCATCCTTAACCCCATGATCTTCGATATGGGGGCCTGGGGGGTCTGAATGCAGTTCAGCGATTTTTTGGCGATTGGTTGTATAGAAAGACGACTATTTACAATTTGTCCAGCCTGTGTCACGGAACGGACCGCGTCGATCCTGATAAAAGCCGCCACAAGTATAAGTACGCATGTACACGAGTCTAGTGCGGCATAACCTTGTCCTACGCCAGTGTGCTTTAATGCGCCTTATGAATGGCATCACATACTGCCTCCTTCTGCGCGAGTTCTAGATTTGGTTTCAAAGACAAAAGAGGGCGACTATGCTGTAACAACCATATCGCAAATTTACGGGTTCATGTAAAATAACCTCGATGGAATCTCGAGATTAAGCTTTTAGTGGTGCCTGAGCTCTAGAAAATGGTAAGCGTAAAGACTTCAAATTAAGTTGTGTTGTTGAAAAGCTCTGTCTCGAGATTTGATTCTCTAGACCATGCGGCGTACACGCTAGAAGACAGACATCGACATGACGAAGTAGCAGTTCTTATTACGATGTACTGTTTGCCTGACTCTCGGTTGTTGAATAAAACACTTATTGAGAGCATCCATAGTAGTGAAAATGCGATTCTTAGGTGGCATATCAAAAGAAGAAGAGGCGTTCACAGTGGAGGGGTTTATTGGAGGTCCGACGTTTCGAGTAGTTGATTCGTCTATCCATCTTCGAAAACTGGAAAGTCCTGCGCACAGCTCCCCCTATATGACGCACTTTGTTCAATGAGTGACACACCGTGAAAGGCACTCCCTAATAAATATTTTCTGGTAGCTCATTTTAAATAATCTTCAACGACGTCTTCTTAAGATTCTTCTAAAAGTTGGCGCGGAGGTTCCCCTGCTCCCCCGAACTGCGTGAAGGATATTAATCTTACAACAGTAAAAGTATGATAAGCCTTGGCACAGACCAGTCAACTGTTAGTTTTGCTAAGACCAAGTTCCAGCATTAATCGACTTGTAGTATGTGCATCAGACAGTTGTAAAATCCAGGCAACTGCATGGAGAAATAAACTGATCTCACGGTTCGCTCACGTACTTACAAAGTACAGCACTGTATCCCTGGCATTGACGTCCTTGCATATCTGGAGTGTGAGTAACACCAATTTTGGACTCTCCGTTGGCGACCACGTTCCTCTCTAGGCGAGTCTACACATGCAAATCAATCTGACGGTAGCAGCATGAACGTCATAGAAAGCCTTTAGTCAAATGACCTCAGTCTACCAGTCAACCCCCGCACTCAGATTATGCATGTAAATGCGTGTTCCTTATTTTTATCCAGCCGCGGAAGTACAAATGTGTGAAACGAAATACATTAAGTTGTCAGTAACTGGCCCCAACAGTAAAAGTTTTATTGGCAACGGAGCAGAAGGCGAGAACCCTACAAAGTTTATTGTTGAGGAAAATCTATTTCTGGGAGCGTCATAATTCTGCCATTTTGGTAGGACACAGGGCCTTTCCGGACAAGTTAAGCACTGACAGCCATGCACAAATATTCAGCCATTTTTACTTGCCTACTTATCTTTAAGAAGTAAATGATTAATTCTTATTAAAATGGACGCTCCATCGGCTTTCCTAGCAAGACCTATTCGGATTGTCATTTTTCGGCAACCCACCGGCTGCAAGTTAGGACTGAGGCGCACACTAAAGCTGGTCGCACATATTACCAATAGAGTATAACATGTCTTGGTTGAAAGAGGATCCGATGGATTCCGCAGATTTTCTACAGTAGGCGGAATGTTGACAAGGACAAGTGCACACTCCAGGCGAAAACGAAAGTCAAATCCTTTTCTTATTTCCCCTTCCACATATACGATATTGTACGGATGCTTAAGAGGCCTTGGGAATCGGTTTTCGAACCGATTAACTAAATCGCCTGATTATCGCTTGCACGATTGTTCCAAATTCACATAAGACGACCAAGTATGCAGATCCTGCAAGCAGTTCTCTGATCTCCAACTGCTGCAGGTGTCTAGCTCGTACCTGTGGCCCTCCTTGTTAAACCTATATAACTTGGATTTAAAGCCAAAAACTTTCTACATCATTAACATGAGACACTTCTTTTTTTCCAATTCAGTGAATTCTGTCCTCCCAAATGAAATTCATTCGCGTCAATTTAACCTTTATTTGCATGGGAGAGAGGATCTCCCGAAACTTTTGAAGAGAATGAGCTCGAACACAAAGTTCCTTTCATTTAAAACAGTCTAGCAGACGACATTTTTATACGATAATTAATACAGAATTCACATGTTGGATCGTCGAAAATATCGCCGAACGTAAACGCACCAGAGCTGCAGGTCCATGGACCACTGGATTAGTCGAAAATAAGAGAGTTTCCGTGCACATACCAACCAGCCCCTTCGTGCTCTGTGGACGCACTTGATAAGACAACAATTGACACTCCTCTAGCCTACATCTTCTGTGAGATTTTGCATTACAGTTGATAAATTACCACGAGAACAAGTACGTTTCTTTTCAGTGAGAAAATAGATTTATTTAAAAACGGAAGGACATGCACGTGGTGTTTCTTCAGATGTACAAGGGAAGTTCCTAGAATAGAATAACTGTCCAAGTAAACAAATCTCTGATAGTCCCTGGGAGTCTGAAAAAAGATGTGGATGGGCTCACCGGAAGTGGAGGGATTAAAATCTCTGATACCAGCCCCTCTTACCACCCGCGAGGTACTCCGAGTAGACCACATCGTCACTTTCCAGATGAAATACCACCTTGACGATCTTAAGGATGAGTCTCTCCAGACGGGTCTGCAGCCATCGCGGAACGTAGCCATCACGAGCAGACCGAGCCACTGTGATTACATCGGGTACCCGCGGTATGGCACGCACAATCCGCGTGAAGTTACGCAGCAGGGCTGCCAACTCGGTGTATGTTGGTACATGTTCCTGAACCACTGAATGTCCGGGTGTGTTGTGTCCTAGACAGAGGCTCATAGGAACAAGCTCGGGGAACCAAGTACGCCACGCAAACTGATGGCAGACACCCACACGCTGCAGAGCCCGTGCCTGTTCTCGTGTCTGGTTGCGGAGCAATAGAGTCAGGAAGTTGAGGCTCTTTTCCACCTCATCTTGCACTAACTGCTGTTCCTCCCCTACCCCTTGGCAGACGAGAGGTGGCTGAGCTTGGTAGAGGTCCTGTTTGGCATCCCAGATGGCCGCACTGCAGGCGTCGTAGACGGTGCCGTTAAGGTCTGGTTTCGGGCATTGAGGTGCTCTGGTGAGACAGTGTGAGATGATGCGGTCAAGAAGGTCCCGAAACCAGACGTCCGGTCTCATCTCTTCGATCTCACTGCCCTCGTTCAGACAGAAGATAGGGCGGATAAGATCGGCCATAGAGAGTACACTCTCCATGTCTAGCCCATAATAGAGCAAACCGGCTCCGACAAGCTGTACCCCAAAGAAGTCCTCGTCAATGTCGAGGATCAGAGGCGTATCCAGGTCGGCAGGCAGGGCAAAGGATTTGGATCGACGAATAACTGCCGCGGCGTTAGCAGATGTAAGTTCAATTTGAGTGTAGTTCCAGCGCCGATCGCAGTCCTTGTCCGGGATGTCACTGAAAGGCTCTGTGCTACTGTGGTTACGCACAACACAGGGCTCTTCTTCGACGTCATAGCAGAGACAGAATCGTTTCGGCTTATCCAGCGAGCTAATCCCCACCCAGGAGGTGAAAGCACTGCTTTCGTTGGAGGTCCACGAGGGGAATACAAGGTAGGTGGACTTGATTAGCTGAGCAATTATCGCACTCTAGAGGCATAAGGAAGGTAAATCTTGTTGACAGCTAGGCACTAGAGTATGCTCGCGTGTATGAATAAAGCAGATTGAAATGCGTGAAAGACATCCATCAACTAGTGTACTTATAAGTCACTCTCATGATTGTTTTCATGGTGCACCATCCACAGAGTCCAAAACGTTGCTGTAATTATGTAGAAAGTGGGTTGTATGTGTGTATTTTAAAAAGACCGAGACACATGCACAGAGTATTTAGTTCAAGGAACTTAGGGCAAATAAAAAGGTGTTATACCAGCCCTAAGCGCAGACAAATAAGATGTTTGTCTCGGTAGCTGGAAGCGCTGCCTAGTCCTCAGCTGATAGCAGGTTTTAAATAGAAATATAGAAGAAAGTAATAACGGATCAGAAGCCAACTATTTCCTTCGGCCATAAACGCAGCTTTAGAAAGCCGCAACGGCGACGATCGAATATATAAGTCCTTGGTTTTTTATTATCGCAAAATGTCTGTTTATCTGATTTAGGTAGACGTTATGCTAAGGACCCGTTGTTGACTAAGCATGGTTAAGTTTCGGTTTAAGTTTAGAGTTAGGTTGAATGTATGTATATTGGAGGGGGTTACAGGCAGATTAGGATCAGGGAAAGGATTTGAATTGTGGCTAGGATTAAGGTAAGAGTTAGGGTTAGGTTTGACTGCCGCGCGACACCTTACCCAATCCGACCTTCTTTAAACATTATTCTTGGAGCACTGGATTTTCGCTCGTCTACACAACACTTTCCGTATATTTCAAACTGCGCGCTCTGGTTTGGTAACGCCTTGGGGCAATTAAACAAACACATAACAAAAAATGCGAGTTTTCTCAATGTCTTCCTCGGATTTCGTCAATTAACGTAGCCATCTGCGCCACTAATGAAATTGATTCTAAAATCCTTTCCGTATTACAGGAGCTCCTAAGCGAAATATCGAATCCTCGCCAACGCAACATCCTATGTAATGAGCCTAAGAGAACAGTTCGTTGTCTGTCCTACCTATGACATGTAATTGACTGAATGAGGAAAACGATACTTAAGTTGTGCTCTTCCGACTGTCATTCATACGGCTGGCTGTAAAGATGGTCAGGCAAAAATTTATTTATTAACTGGAAACTGCACTGAGTCGTGATCGGCATTGAAACCCCACCTGAATGACACCTTTAGTTTGCAATCTATTTAAAACAGTTCACTCAGTGTTCCTAAGTTTTCGGTCCAGTGTAAATATCGGAGCACAAACGTGTCTGCGATTTTACACTTTATCCATATTTTTGAGAAAGCTGGGAAGAAAAGTGAATGTTGGTGCCGCTGCTTTGTAGTCCCAGTGCAAGAAACGTTATATCTAGCCAGTAACAAATAACGGTTCGAAACTCATGCACATAAGCAAGGAAATGTGGAGGGGGATTAAAACATCTCACCAACTTCTAAGGTGAAAAATACCATGCATGTGTTTAGACTCGAACCACTAGCTGCGGAACTAAGCCCAGCTTATAAAAAGGGCACAGGTGGAGACTATGTCGCTCGAAAGTGATCTCTAAGCTCTTATTCGGAAACTAATTGCTTGAAGAGGCATTTGTTGACAGCGATTGTTGATCACAAAGGAAGTAATTCATGCTATCGAGCCTATCCGGTGCTTAACACATCGTCAATTTGCCGTTCCGCAGGATAAGTTGTAGATGATGGTGGCATGCGACATATGCACCGGATATCAAACCGTCCAATATTTACCAACTCGTAGGGTGTGTTAGACCAAAGAGCCGCATTTGACAACTCTTGTTGCCAACAAAAGAATTCTTGCGTAGAGGAATTCATCAGTTTGTAGTAAGTTGAGAAAGAAGCACTACAGTCTATGAAAGGCATTTCTATGAGCAGTTTACTTGTGTACCTTGGTTCTACTTATTTGAAACTTCAAACACTGTCTTACAATTCTTGATTAGTCGGCACAAAGCCATAAATTTTATGGCTCTCACTTTCCGTGTTTTGTGTTCACCTGACAATGAGGACGCATTAGAGAGCGGCGTTCAAAAGTGACATACAATTAAACTACCTGGATAAATTGGTCGTTTCTTTGCATCATCGCCGAGATCTGCGTATCGTTTTCAGGAGGATGGCCAATTGGTAAGTCCTCAATCAATTCTGGAAAGTCCATGTCGCTGTGCCCATCAATGTGAACCTGTTAGTTTTGGATGAGAGAGATGTAGGTTTAGCTAGAATACGGAATGGAGAAACGGTAAACTATGAAACCTACAGAGGGCTTCGTCCTTTAGCCTAGCAGCTGGCTACCTGGAACTTTAACGAGTGGTGGATAGTGAAAAGGACAATAAACTATGTCTTGATGAGAAACAAGCAGACTTTCGGGTCTGACGATTGAGCACTTGCAGACCAGCAGCGCGAGTCCTACCTGGGTAACTCCTGGCAAACCCACTACTTTATATCATACCACAGAGCCTGACGACGACACTGTGATATGATAACCGCGAACTGTTACCAAATAACTTTGTTTGCCACGTCTGCCTTGTGGTTAGGTTCTTGAGTCAAAGCGCTAGAGTAAATAGTCCCGAATAGGCAACCCGGGTGGATGTTTGGGGTCGGCCTGTGCTAAAAATCCCCAAGGAAGCTCATGTTCATAGCGCCTGAAAGTGTTATCACAACCCAAGCCACAACGTCTGTGGGCACCGACGCGGTCCTCGGTCGTAGTCCGGTGGAGATGACAAATAATATGCGAGATAGACCACTCAGTCCAGAGATAATTATCTGTATTAGTTGTGGGGAAATTCTTCGGCCCTGGAACCCAAAGTTTGACGCTGAAAATCTTCACCGGTACAACGTGGGTGTATTTTGTCTCTGAATGAAGTCTGAATTCCCGACTCAGTTCTTCGGGTAACTTAGCGTTTCAGGGCAAAGCTGTCACGTCGGAGCGGTCAATGCGACTCTTCTGGTAGACCCCATGTGGCGATGGTCGTCTTTTAGAGGACTGCGTGCTTAATAGTTCAAGTGAAATCACTTGATGACAGGCCACTCTGCGTACTACTGAAGGGACATTTTACTAACTACTATGATGTTTCTGTTTGCACGCCAACATCCGCCACCCATTAGCGCAAATACCGAAAACCCTGCTTTAACTATTGGTTGTAAAACTTCCCAGCCCTGATCTACTGACTGCTGTTGAAGGTGGAAATAGCCGGGCTTGGTCAGGTAACTCCTCTAACAACCCCCTTGTTGATCATATCGGGCTTGGGCCTAGATTTGAATGGAAGGATTTTATCAACAATATCACTGAGACCGGTTTGATCAGACACGAGAACCGCCGTATCAAGTACGAGTAAATAGACAAATTTGATTACATTTTTGTATCGCCCACTAAACAAAATATGAATGAGGTTCCTCTAGACCTTAAAAATAATTCTGGGAAGTTAACGAAACAAAAAACACGAATAAAAATGTTCAATAGTATACTTATGCCGAGCAACCTTACCAGGTTGGCCTTTTTCCATCCGTAAGCCTTTACTGCCCTTACCCAGTGTGGAATGACTGAAAAAGAAAAGAAATATACACATGCTTGATGGGCTATCACGTAAGCAGAGTTGGCACAGAGAAAGAAGGGGAGCACTGCCTTGTTGACATGTCTTCAGCACAAGTGACGCCTGTATAACTTAAGGCCCTGAATCATGAAGCGTGCCTCGACACAACGAGCGCTGACTCCTTGACAGCCAGTTACAGCTCTGCGTGCCCCGCTGTCTTACCACGCTAGTCCGTAAGGAAGAAAAATGTAGTAAGAAGGAGGGAAGGCATCCACGTGTTACTTCCTCTCCCAATGCTTTTCTGTCGGTTTCTGGTGCGGAGGAAATAGACTGGTAGGGTTTATAACGCTAATCCGGTGTTTTTGTAGGATTCAGCCGTTAGGGCTACAGAGGCAAGGCCCACACCTTACATAACACATACCCCGTTCTTCTCATTCATCTGGCTGTCTATCATTGCCATTTTTTACCTCTAAGACAACAGAAGAACAAAATCCTAGACGAATGAACTCTCCGATTTGGAAGTTTAAGCACTCTACCATCTTCCTCACCGAAGCAAGTAACTGAGTCCAAAAAACTAATAAGTGGACCGGAAGTTTCCTGAGCCCTAAATGCTCCCAACCGTCGTAGGTACAGGTTAATTGTTCCGAGCCATCAAATGCCTGCAAGAGCCCGTCATCAATGTGCGCATGCGACGAGGCCCATACAGTGAAAGACCGATATCATGAAATGTTGGCTGAAATTATGAAATGCGTTTTTGATTAGGAAAGATTACTTAGGCATGGCTATAATACTGATTATCTAGGAGCATAATCCTATAATATTTCAGACTCGGCAGGATGTCGGCTTTTGGATGCACTAATTTTCAATCTCCTGTCGAAACCGCATTTGGTAAAAATGACTACTTAAGTAGCATGCACTCATCACACTCATCGGTCGTTTGATAGAAAATCACGTCTTCTTTATAATTTGTACTCGAAGAAGGAATATAATTAGGTTTTTTAAAAGTTTTCTAATTGCCGAATAATTTGGAGCCTGATCAGTCGTTGTATTAGCGCTTAGTGATTTCAGCCTACAAGGTGCATGCGTTCCGCGTAAAGAAAGTTACATATTCCTCTAAGTCTTTAAAAGATACCATATGGTGTCCATAAAATTTTGCAATGGATGCTAACTATGTTTTACATTTCATGAGGAGCAGTGGTAGACGGTCGGGTGCGATGCTGTATGAATGGACATTGCACGGTCCTAAAAAATCTCTTAGTAAGAAACTTTTGCAAAACCTAATAATATTCCTTCTTCTAGTATAAAATATAAAGATGACGTCATTTCCTATCAAACGACTGAAAGAAAACACGTTTTTGTTCGCAGTTTCTGCAAAATATATTTGAGTTTGGAAAACTGCCGAAAATCAGTGTGATGAGTGCATGCTACTTAAGTAGTCATTTTTACCAAATGCGGTTTCGACGGGAGATTGAAAAGTAGTGCATCCAAAAGCCGACATCCTGCCGAGTCTGAAATATTATAGGATTATGCTCCTAGATAATCAGTATTATAACCATGCCTAAGTAATCTTTCCTAATCAAAAACGCATTTCATAATTTCAGCCAACATTTCATGAGATCGGTCTTTCACTGTATGGGCCTCGTCGCATGCGCGCATTGATGACGGGCTCCTGCAGGCATTTGATGGCTCGGAACAATTAACCTGTACCTACGACGGTTGGGAGCATTTAGGGCTCAGGAAACTTCCGGACCACTTATAAGTTTTTTTGGACTCAGTTACTTGCTTCGGTGAGGAAGATGGTAGAGTGCTTAAACTTCCAAATCGGAGAGTTCATTCGCCTAGGATTTTGTTCTTCTGTTATCTTTAACGTAAAGAATGGCAATGATAGACAGCCAGATGAATGAGATCGGTCACTCCCTGTAACTGTCCCCAGAAGGACGCATCAATGACTTGTGTGCAGCATCTGACACGCTGTCTATTCCCACAATAGCCGTATTCCACTTGCAAAACGAAGCCAGGACGACTGAGCGGTGCCCTTGTCGTAATAAATGACACGGCTGACGCCAAATGTTCTCTCAGTCCGCATGAATCAACATCCATAGAAGATGTCTTTGGTCCCACAAAATTCAAATTTAAATATCGACGGCACTACGAACGATCCATAGCGTTCTGGCTTAGGACCATATTATTACGTTAGTTGGTTGCATTTTAAGCACCACCATGTGCCCTTCATGATGGTTTAGAGGCACTTTCAGTTGTTTAAAGCGATGAGATCAAACGCTGGGTCGATCTCATTCCCGCTTCCCTATCCTATGTACCAATGTCGGAACTTTTGGACCGAACGGAATGAAGTTCGCGCAGTACATGACATGGTAAGGATCGGGCGAAGGTCCCCAAATATCTATGGCATACAAAAATATCTAATATACTTATTTAAGTGGGTTTCAGTTCGAAATGATTATTTCGGTTTGGTGTTTCATTGTACAAGGTTGAGTCGTCTGTTGTAGACGGTCTGGTGCATTATTTACAAAGTCTCCATCTTAGGCGTACCACATGCGTGTACGACAATAGTTAGAGACAGGACCCTAGAACAGGAACCCCCTATTACGGGGGCCTTGCACAAATTTCCAGGGCGACCAGGGCTACTGCCAAGGTTAGGATTAGAAGTAGGCTGAAGGCTATGGTTTGAATTCAAGTTGGCGTCTTCAGGCACCGAACTTTTTAAGATTGCAGTCCCCCACCACCCTCCGTCTGGCAAAGAGTTTAAGACCGAGTTGCTCACCTTCGTGGTGCTCCTCTTCCACATAGATCTTAGTCTTTATGAGGGTGGGCGCCAACTTCTCTGAGTGTGGTGGCTTCACAGGGGCCGGGAGTTGTATTTTGTTGGAAATTAACAAGACGGTTATCCCAAGGGCGATAAGTAGTACTGGTACACACACGCACGCTTGCCATCTGAAACAAAAGCGGAACAAAAATTTGTTTAGAATCTGCCTGAAATAGTAAGCGAACATTAGAAAATCTAAAAAATGTGCAGTAAATGGAGAAATTCAAATTGTCAGCACAGAGTCCTCGAAACTTGCGTCAGAATGAAAATGTCGGGTGTCATGTACGGAGGCAGGAGTTCCAGATGTACGGTCATTCCGGCTTTGTCGATGAAAGGGCATCCTGCCGCAAATATAATGCCGGAGAATTCGACACATGGACACAACATAAGTAACACCATCTAGGCCAGTTAGAGCGGGTGCGACCGTAGTTGTAGTACGTACTTGTAAGCAATACACTGATGCATCGATGAGCCTGGTGGATAATTTTACTTCGTCCCCCCCTCCCCTGACACCTAGCTATCATCCGCACTCAGCACATCAGCCGCACGCCGGCAATCGCTTCGACTGGCGGACTAGACTAGCTATGTGTGTCCCCACACTTGATAACCCCTACTTCTGACCCCACCTTCCTCATTGCCTCCAAGCAAATAAGTCCTACGGAGAGGGTAAGTTTACAAGACCAGTGTCTACGACCTCCTGTTTGCGGATGACTAAGAGATGAATGCACCAGCAGAAACGGACATTCTACAGAGCGCGAACACCTTTGCTTCCAGTTGCTCCAACTTCGACCTGACCGTCAGCAGGGAGAAGACAATGGTCATGCACCAACCGACGCCAAACATTGACTCCAGTGAAACCGGGGCCGATGTCAGCGGAACTCGCTCTACACCAGGGAACAACTTCACCTATCTGGGGAGTGCAGATTCTAGAGGCAGCACAACCGACAACGAAATCGTCAATCAAGATTGAGGAGGTACATGATTGCTGTCCCGATCACGATCTTTCGTAGGGAAAAGACGAGGTCAGTTCACGAAAGTCAAGTAAGTAAGATCAACCACTTATATCTCAGCTGTCTTCGGAGAATAGTAAAGGAACACACGAATCGAGATCCAGGAAGAAGATTAGCGTTTTCAGTATGTACACTATGCTGAGGCAGATGTAACTGCGATGGAGGGAGCACGTCATGAAGATGAGCGACAATGTGCACTTACTGTGGACTTCGAAAGAAGAATCAAATAATCCAAACCCAACAAGGCCACTTTCTAGCTACCAAAAAGTTGCATATAACTAGACCATCTGTATTACTTCCAACCCCTCTTTCCCTCTTCTAGCGCTGCAACAGCCAAAAAGGGTTCTGTAATATTCAAGTTCACCCGTCAGCCATCCCTAGCATGATCTCCCCGCACCTGATGGCGTGTCCATTTTATGAGGTTTTCTTCACCTGTCCCCATTCTCTGCCATCGCTCTCCTGTGGTCTTCATCTCTCCCTTCGTAGGCCTTTACAGAACTCACAAACCTGAGCACTGGACGTGAAGGTAGCTAAAACGGCAATACAGCCGGAAGCATCGCGTCCAAGTTAGCCATTTTGCAAGGGGTTTTCTTCGACCTTTTATTGTATTGTGTGCTTTTTCGCGCCTATAAAAGAAGCTGTCCGATGGCGATATCGCTAATGGCGCGCGCAGACAGGGAGACGAAAGGGTCGTTACCGGCAAACCATGAAGATCTACATCAGGCACCTACAGGTCAATGAGGATACCTGTGAACAATTTCCTCCGGATCGGCAGGCTTGACGTAGTCGTAGAAGCAACGGTCTACGAAGTCCATCGCATACAAGAGGTCAAAGCGAAAATAGGGCTGAGCGAATTTTGAATATTTCACATTACTGTTGTGAACACCCAACACCAGCTATTTTGTCCGCATTGCCAACGGAAACTCAGGGCACGAATTGACCGTCGGACAACTGCAAACGCAGTGCAAATTCAACACGACCGGCATCGTTAATAAGCACACTCTTGCCATCCTGCCCAACATCACTACTGTCAGCCCTTTCACCTGCAATGTGGAGTCCGCCCTAACCTGTCCCCAGTGTGACCGCACCTAAGTAACACACATCAGTCTGATCAGTCATTTGAGAATCTATCACACTTTAAACGGCGAACGAGTGCCTGAAAGCTTAGCACGCACCCTCCACTCCCTTCACGCATGCGCACGATGTCTTAGGATATTTAGCCAGCGTATGGGCCTATTCAGTCAGATGTGCATTCACAGCACGGCCCATGCAGCAACACGAATCCGCCTCCAAATAAACTGCACCCGTCCCCAAAACACCCCTGAATCAAGCATGTGATTCACTGTCGACGTCCGTATGGCAAGCCAAACGTCACGTGTCAGGATATGCATACCTGGCTTAAATTTGGAACATGTTTGCCGCTGTAACCGAAGCCATGAAGTTGCGGCCGGGTCGCCTAGGGCACGTGCGGGGGGAATTGCTGCATTGCCAGCCATTGCGTCCAGTCCCATTATTCATTGATTTACAGGTGTGGACAGCCGATCGGTGCATGGCAGAGTGAGTGAGGCCGACACTGAGAAAGCCATCCGCATGGCACGCCAGCGCATTCATTAATATAACGAATCTGGTGTGTTTAAACCTATCACGAAAGGCTCAGAGTCGTGGCTAGGAAAATTGTCAATTGATGTGTCAAATCGGCCCATCTCAGGACTGACGGTCAGGCTACAATGGCGCCTTGTGGTGCTGACTGTATTCTCACCATAGTGAGCCCGGAGGTCTTCTTGTTGTGACCTGGTCTATCTGGTCACTCATGAACGGGCTGTTTAGCCCTGGCTGCCACTGCGTCCAAGCCTACCTCCGGTCGTCTGGATTGCGTCTTCCCAATAGAACGTGTTATTTGTGAGTGGAGAGAATGAGGTAGGGACTCGTAAGTCCGCCCACTATGAACAAATTCATCCCCAAGTCGTCGTTGTTGGGTCCACCTCGCGGAGGAACGGTGGACGTTGTCGCTTGTGGCAGGTGAAGTGTCACGTATGTATCTGTTGGGGGTTGGGGGTACGGAATGTCCAGTTAGGGGGTACACAGTGCAGAAGGAACAGGCCGCTCCATGGGTGTGGGGCATGCAGTAGTTGATTCGCTCGGTCTTTATATGGAACTCAGTTCTCATTTGTTGCCCCTCAAAATTGTGTCCTGCCTTTTTAACAAAACCATGCTGCCGTACTTATAGGGGGACTCGGCTAGGTGAGAATGACCGGTTAGTGCGAAGCCGTGCGTAAAAAGTTTGTTTCGGCCTGCAAACTTGGAGCAGCCGTGCTGTGGCACGTGTAGACGAGTTTTGCGCCTGCCCAGTCCTAGCTTCCGCCTCCCATCCTCGACTAAGTATAACGTGGAGCAGTACGAATCCCACCTGGAATTATGCGGACCCAACTTCTGATTCCCCTGATTACACTGAATCAAAACTAAACTGTCTAGTTTGGTTCGAAAAGCCTCAGTCTCAATGACACTTTGGATTGCTTACGTGTTTGGCTCAGAACAGCAGTACATTTTTGACTTTAGGTGCGAATGAATGGAGGAGAACATGCGAATCCTAGGCACTTCTTGCACAGAAAAAGAACATATGCTCATCGGAGCTGTCATTGAATCCGTCCGACATTTCGGACCCGTAGAGGAGCCCACGCTAAGATGGCCATGAACATTTTTGGGATCTGGCAGTAGAGAGGGGAGAGGCAAGCTGAGGCTTTGAAACGGATTTGAAGGTTCAGAGGACAAAAATGACTGTTCTGGTGGTCCAGTACCCTTTTTTTTCTTAGATCTCTTGTTTAACAACCTTCAAGTGTCTGTGCTAGAAACCATCTCCGGTTGCCTTGGCGCTATCTTCCCATCGAAACCAAACGGATGAGGGAGAAAGAGGCGCAGTAGATGCGTCGCGCGTCCACCTTACCATAAACTAATTAACGCGCATGCAAAATTCCTACACCCGTTCTATGGAGCACACGAGGAACATCTTTATTCGCGACGGTCGAACTGTCTAGTGTCTATAAAAGCATCTCGGACTATGCATTTAGTTGACTTTTTCGACGAATCCAAATGAATATTCTCAAAATATTGAACAGTAAAATAAAGAGTAAAAAGCTTGACAAAGCAACTCAACAAAGCCAGTGTATCTTACAAAATCTATACCGGGGACGACTGAACTAAATGCACCACGGCTAAAAACACACATCTTCCTTACATGGGGGCTGGGTATGGCTGGCTGATACTGAAGGTGATATCAGGTTAGCAATAAGTGCTCCTTTCTGCCTCAATAGTTCTTGGCGGCCATACGTTTTATTCGTTTCTTGCTTGTATTCATGCAATCGCCTGAGTTTGCCGCAGATAAACGCCCAGATGCAAAATGAAATCAATCACCTTCCGCGCTGGCGGAAGCAATAGTTTAGTACTATACTTTTCATAAGAAAATTCAAATGCGGAATCTTAAACTATGCTATTGTTTGACTGGGTTTTCGAGATTTCTGGGGGAACAAGACGACACTGCTACTCTCGAGTATCCGATTAAGCAAATGGATTTTGCACTGGAGACCATCTTCATCAGACTGCCTTGAATAGTTTTTTTAAAGAAGAAACGCTTAAGCTTTTAATGGTCCCATTTCTTTAAATGATATTATTCAGGGCCTAATAAGTTCCTCATCTGAAGTCGTTCCCTGCCATCGTTTCCTACGACTAATCCCTAGATGGAGAGGTTGGCGACGGACACCAAACGCATGTAATTGATACCCAATTCGAAGTGAGCAGAGTGGATTTCGGGTTCTAAATATTTCTTGGGGAGAGGCGGTACTGTTTGAGAGTTAGACTGAAACTGGCCCGCAACCAGGAGCATTCCCCTGTAAGACCGATAAGAAATGATTCCAAAGCTGAAGGTGTATAGGCTCTAGCCTTTGTCTGTGAATATGTTCCGGAAGCAGGGTCGTTGAGAGTCGCAGTGTCTTCGCACGCATTTAACTAGAATTTGACTCTAAGAGGTTTACTTTCAGCCTTGCATGATTAGACACTTAAAGTGAAACTATTCAAAAGGAGATAGATAGTTCGTAAAACGCACAGTTAGGCGAAAAGAAGATAAAGTCACCTTTCTTTGTGTCTGCTCCTGTCCTGTTGTTCCATCTGCATCCTACAAAGGTCGCGTTCGTCGAATGACAGGTTCCGCGCGAGCCACAGTTCTTATGTACTGATGACATTCGCGTACCACCACCCCGAAGTTTACGCAAACAAAGCGGCATAGTCAAGTCATCCTACTCAGGTTAATAGGTGCGGTTCTGAAAAGCTAACTCGTGGTGTACGCCCACCGTGCACGCATCGCAGTGAAGATACCTCGTTCATACAACCAATAGCTGCGTCCTCAATGGTTTACGCATCGGACAACAACCGTGCGCTAAACGTTGCGAAGTTTGGCACTTGTCGGCCGACGCAGGTGCACTGAGAGCGCCTGGACCCAACATCCAAGGGCAACAGTTCGCCCGTCCCGGCTTCACCGCACGTGTAATGTCAGATGACCACCCGTTGTGCTCGTGACTGCGAACTGACGCAGCGGGGGCGGGCACTCTCGCGATCAGTCCGGTGCACGTTGACGATGGAGTGCATTGCGCCACCCACGCACGATAAACTGCACCACAGTAAATGGTTACTTGGCTGACGCCATAGCCGACAGACTGGAGAGAGCAACATGCGGATGCCGCGGAAATCAGCAAGTTTTCCGGTGGACGACAGTATCGTCGAAAAGTGCACAAGGTCCTAACTGTCAACAACCCCTGTCCACAGGAATTCAATGAGCATTGTCACCAATAGCTCACTCTCGTCTCTTCCGTGGCTTTTGTTCTTAGATTTGACTCGGTTCATCAGGACTCCTTGAGCTTGGTCATGTGACGTGATGACATACCACCAAGGTCACTTATATTTCCTCAAGGTCACCATCGTGGAACAAAGACCAACATACATGCAAATGATAAAAGGAGTACATTCTTTAATACCAACTCTGGAGTTATTCGGAGCTGTGTTCTCCCACCAATTACATTTATACACATAACAGACTGGATTCTTCAGTGTGGGTTGGCTGAAAACCTTGCTGTAACGGTTGGTCGAGGTCTAACAGAACCCTCCGGCTAACAACAAGATTCCGCCAACTTAGAGAAATTTCTACTAAACGGGCAAACTGAAGATACATTCGATCAGGAGTAAATTAAGCGGCTTTGACTTTTGTCCATCTCCATCCGAAACCTCTGCCATCGGCACTAGGTGACTCGTGAGTGCAGAAGATACACACAGCTTAAATCTATCCGATCGACGGTGCCTGCGTCCCATTATTTGAAACCCTCCCTCTCAGCCAGCGTCCCGAACAAATGGCTGGACTGTCTGTCAGGAACACAACGCTTGAAGTACGTTCGCTTGACTCAGTAATGTAGAACGTCGGCCTGAGCGTGAAACTATTTGAGGCATCATCCCCTCCTAACCCAGCGCTTGCTGTTGGCGTCAGTGAGATGACTAACTGGAGACACAGATAGACTTGATGGAAGCCGATTTTGATTGCATCGTTAGTACTGCGTTCTGCGGTCCGCGAAACAGGCCCAACTTCGATCAGGATTCCGCCGTTGTCAGACTGAAATGGAAGTCAGACATCCTTTACGTTGTGAATTCGCAAAATGGAGCCAGCTGAAGTACTAATGACAACCGTCGCCACGCGTACGGAGAGGCGGGTTAGTACTGTAATCTCGGCAAACTGTGTCCGATCCCGGTCGCAAAATTATGACATAATTAGTCGGCCGACTCATCAGTTTTGCCCTTCGGACCACCTGCTCAATACCAAATATAGGAGAAAAGAGTGCCGAAAAGGTGATTGCAAATGCATCAAAAACCGTCTTTATGGTGTTCTTGGCATTACTAATGGATTACTTTCAAGTTCTGAGTACTTGTCGACGTGCCAGTGCAGTTGAAAATTCTATTTTGCTCAAATGATGCGGTCTGAGCCAATTCGCTGGTCTCTCTAAACAGATCGGATAGGTGAGCGTCTCTGGAGGCGTCGGCGCTTTCGGTCACCGCCCCAAAAGGTAGGTGTGTCAAACACAAAACACACGAACCGTTTTTTACGCAAAATATCTTAAATTTGAGTAAATGAAAAACACATATAACTTTAAGCGTATGGCGTCATATTTAAGAAGTGAAGTTAGCCCCCATTGCTTTTACCACTATTCGGCAGACACTTCGGCAGGATCTCACTTCGTAGCCGTACCTGTAAGGGGTTATGATTAGGGGTTAAGGTTAGGGGTTGGGGTTAGGGTTTGAGGTTAGGGGTGAGAGATGGGGATTAGGGGCCAGGGTTAGGGGTTGGTGTTAGGGATAAGGATTAGGGGTGAGGGGTTGTAGTTAGGGTTTAGGAGTAAGGGTTGAGTGTTAGGGGTTGGGACTAGGCTGGGGCTTGGTAACTGGAGATACGGCTACGAAATCAGATCCGATCGACCTTTCTTTTGTGCGACTCGTGTCAGCCAGGGCCAGAGAGTGAAAAAAAACATTTCTGCGGGTCTACTGGTTAAGTTGAAGGTTCCCGGTTCGACTATAAGCCAATTCTCAAATTTTAATTATGAGTTACAAGTCCACTGTTCATCAGAAGGTACTAAACGTTGACCGAAATGGCGGAATAGAATTGTGATGAGAAGGACTAACACGGGATTTCCTGCAATACAGACATTCATTGCACGATATGTGCAGGATCTCCACCTGATTAGTGTATTGTGGGACGGTAAATTTTGAGGGACAGTTTTCCCAAAAGACGTTTTCGGTCTTGCTAATCATATTTACTTCGTTTTCGTGAGCAGGAGTCGTAGAATGCGCCACTACAAATAATTACGTTGTGTAAAGTAAAGTTGCCCTTAAAGAAGGCATCTGGATTAAACTGAGTACACCTGCTGAGCAAGAATTGACAATTTACATACCGTTTTTAAAAACTCAGTTTAGTATAGGTGGGAGAGGCCTCTAATGACCGACAGTTGCTTCACACATACTCCATTGCCAAAAGAAGAGAAGGTGCTAACCAGGAGAGATTTACTTCGGATCGAAAAGCTGAACTTGGCGTCAGCGAAAAAAGTGCTTCAGCCCAAAGTTACAGTCCACATATTCCAGCAAGTAGAAGGTTAAATCAAGGTTACATTTGTCCTCTTGCCAATTGAGGAGAGGTGGAATTAGGAAAGGGACACACTATGAAAACTAGGAAGATTTTAGTCCAAAAACCGTTTTGTTGGCGCATCTCGGAATTTCCTTTAGAGTTCTAACGTGCCTTCACACATATGACATGGATGATTGAGTTGCTAACTTCAGATGCAGTCAAATGAGGACTTCGAAATCTTGTCAAGCCGGGTCAATGGAGAGCTCGTACGGGCCACCGATTTTGTAGTTCGTGATAAACTTTTCAAATCATCTTACACTGGAATACCGATGCCTTTTGATCCATTGACATTTAAATGAACTTATTTAAGAAACAGTTGCCTAGCAATTATTTTTCTGTGTTCAAATCACTTTCCAGACAAGTAAACGTGCTGGAATTCGTTCGGTACTGCTCACTCCAACTGCGTGAAATACTTATGTATATGCGATTGGCCAAAACCGGGTACTTAGTCCATTAGTCAGGGAGAGCAGAAAGGACTATACTGTAACAGCTTATCTGTGTTCCATAGTTGAGGCAAATGTTCGAGTTGATTAGTTAGACTTATTGCAAAGTCTGTCTTAAATACTGGGTTTTGGTCCTCTTTGCAACTATTCTTTTGAAGCAGTCGTGCTACCTGACTGGGCGAGGTGTGGCAGACGATTAGGACGTGGAAGGCAGTTACATCAGAACCTTAGTAACTAGTCTTCAGCGACAATAATGGTGTGAGATTACATGAAACTATCTATGTGTGTGTTGTAACCAGTCAAGTCGTCTTTCGGTTCAAAAAGCGAAAGTTGATTTCTGACAGTTATCCGTATTGTGAAGCTGTCATTGATCTCACAGGGTTTATTCTTGGGTCCGTCTTTTGACTAGTATTGTATAGATAGACTGTAGGATAACCACTTTTTTATCCTTTAAAATACGGAGCTGAACGTAACTCACAAAAATGCACAACGACTGACATGAGTACGTCCATTTGATCCGTAATATTGTAAATGCGATCTAGTTAAAAACAAATCCGTGGGGGAATGCTTTTAACAAATGCCCACTTTGTGTGTCCTTTGCTTTGGTCTCAAACCTACCTTTTCAGAGAGTGGACAATTTTATTTCAAGGACCCTTTTCAGATAGCGTGTGAAGAATGCACTGGCAAGGTACCTCGTTACTCTTTTTGTTAAAGTTAGAAGAGATAATATCGACCGCACATTCCTATCCACCGTCATCGCTCGCCTGCCAATTCCAGGGAAATTTTGAGAGATGGAATTAATTTATCCGAAGACCGGGTGGGGCACGGAAATAAGTACCCCCGTGTTACGGGTGATCTTATGCCATATTCCACGAAGTGTTGGAGTTGGGAGCAATGTTAAGGTTAGGAAACTCAGTGCTAGGGCCGGGGTTGGAGTCATGACACGCGAATAGGTGCACCTCTGGAAGTAAACGCAAGACCACTATTATTACGGGTAAGATGTTCCTTTTTCCGTGTCCAACCATGAGTGTCGTACAAAGGCGAACTAACGTACTTGCCTATAAAAGGAAGTGATTCCCACTCGGAAAATTCACGACACCGCCTTGCAGCAGACCCATCTTCTACTGACTGCTTAGTGGATTTTTGCCGTTTGTAAGCTTACCGCCAAGATGCTACAGCTGAACTAATATCATATGATGGAAAAGGGTTCAATTATCTATTCGCTAAAGTCTATCAACAGCAAACGGTGAAGCATAAATGGGCCGGATAACATTCTGATTAAATTTGTACACTTCGGGCATTGCATGAGGTTCCATAAACGCAAGTATGTTATTCAGTGGATTGTACACAGCGCTGAAAATTCCGATTAATGTCAATTTGGTTTTAAAACCAAAGAAAGACCTAAAGAAATTTCAAAGGAATGTCGCTTCTCAGAGTACTTTGATTGCAGTTTTATTATTTTCAATAGGTGCTTTAGTAAAGTTTGAATAATCCATTTTGATCCACCTGTAAAA